GGGGAAAAGGCAGGACTTACCCAGGAGCCGGGCCAGCAAGACGCTGAGGATGAGAGATGCGAGGTGCATGCCGAGAGCGAGCTGCGTGTTTGCTGAGTGAGGAAGAGTCCGAAAGCACGCGGCAGCGCCGAGAGAACGGAGCTGCCGGGAGCGGCTCTGGGCGGGAGCAAAGGCAGCAGCGGCGGGAGCAGGCAGAGCAATGCCCTGGTCTTGCAGCGCCTGAAATGCTCCTTGTGCGTTTGTCGCTGCTCCAGCAGCAGCCGCCGAGGCTCCCTCAGCCATCGGCACCGGGAGCATTCCGTGCCTCTGGGGCCTCGCTCATGGCAAGGGGCTGTTCCCGCTCAGCTCGCAGTGGAGTCCTCACCTCCGCAGCTGGAACGGCCAGCTCTGCTGCACAGCCAGGCCTGGGCACTTGGCAGCTCAGGAGCTTCTTCCCCACGGAGCTTTCTCACCTTCCCGAGGTGTCCTCAGCTCGGTGAGGTCACTGCTAATCCCCAAATCCAGACGACCTTTGGACCACTCCGACGCTCAAGACTGCACAGATTGAGAAGCATTCCATTATTTGTGCTCCCTAATCCCATAAATCATCTTCACACCTCCTTTATCCTCCTATTCCACTTGTCTCTTCTTGCCAATGGCAGCGCTCGGCCCGAGCCACTTTACAGCAGTTTCCTAATGGCTTATCAATTCGAAGCAGAAGAGGTCTGAGCTCCCCACTGCTCTCCTTTATCACCCACTGCCAGACTGGTGTCATTTGTTGTGCTTTGTTCATCACTTTCCCTGTTCCTTGTTCCTCCGTTGGAAAGGAAAATGAACGTGATGTGAGCCTCGGAGAACCAGACACTCTCGCCTTTCACATGCCCTGACTGTGGCCTCTGCTGAACATGCTCAGCCCATGGAGTTCTTCGAGATGCTGAAAGGCTCCTGTCCCCAAAGGAAACGGGGTCTCTAGAGCAAGTGTCAGGAGAGAAACCTGATGTGGAGCTCAGTCTTTCAAGTGTCTCCCTCCAACACTTGCACCATTGCTAAATGCTGGCATTTGTTCTTGTGGATGCTTGACATGTTACTAACGTGAAGAGAAGGGACCAATTATTTTAATGGGACAGGTGGGTGTGAAGGAGCACTTCGATGATTTGAAATGCTCTTCTACTTCTCCTGACTTATTGTTTTACTTCCCGGCTGTTCTACTGTTTCAGGAAGGTGGTGAATGATCATCCATGAGTGTTTTGGGAAAAGTGGGGATGAGAATGAAACATAAAGAGAAGTGAATTCTAGGCTGAAAGCACACCTCATTTACACATCCCGCTGAGAATGCTGCCTCTTATTCACATTGCAGTATGGAACAGAGACATTTCAGCAGCGACAGAGATAGAGATACCTTTGTCAACTCAGAAAGTCTGACTGCAAACCCGTCTCATGACAAGACCCATGGAGGTGACAGCACACCATGAATAAGCCCCTGCGTGCCTGTCAGTG